TGGTCGTAACCATGCCTTTAAACGTTTTTCTTTCCATGGAATATCATTAACACTGATTCTGTGTGTGTGTGTTTTCATGTGTCACAATAACTTTTGCCTCCACTTCTCCGAAACCCTGCGAGAACGACGACTGATGGCGATCTGATGATCATGGCCCTGTGGTCAAGTCAAGTCAAATCATTTACTTCGGCCCATATACAAAGATACAGTTAATTATTACAATGATAAATATAGCATGGATACATTATAAACACGTATAATTTAACATAAGGGGCATGATGAAATACAAATACATTATCCATTAACCTGCCGCTGCCTTAGCCCAAAGCTCAGACATAAATATTTACAAAGGTTATTTAATAATTCCCTTGATGTAGAAGATAACAATTCATGAAATTTATAGATAGACGGTATGTCGTTGTACATTTGTTGTAAATAACACTTTCTAAGATACAACAGTCTGTAGTAAGAATATTTGTGTGTTTTTTATTTGTTAACAAAGTTAAATATTTTCATGTTTCTAAAATGCTTTTATATTGTCTGTACAGCTTATACCTTGAACTTTCTTCAACTGTACTGTTCCATGTCTGTATATACATGTCAACTGGAACTCTTTTAAACATCTGAAGAAACTGGAATTCATTACCGACACCTTGAAATAACCAAACATAATCAAATCCATATGAAAACATTAAATTACGCACAGATGAAACATAGTTATCATAATCACAATTATCATAATACATTAACATAGCGTAAGTTTTTTTTTAAATTCTTCCTTAGTGCATATGTACAAGTTGAAGCCAGTGCTTTATAAAACGACATTGTGCATTTATGTACAGTGGATAACGTCCACATTCACCACAAACAATTACATTTGGTGTTTGAGGACCAACATTTAAACATTTCTTACATGCAGTTAAATGTACATTTTCAATCTTATATAATATATTATTACCCCACACTTCGGCACCATACAAAAGATTTGGTTGAATTTGAGTATCAAAATATTTTGCAAAATACAGGATAGTCAACATTGTTCAATTTATATAAGCAATGTAATACTTCTAGAAGTGCCCTTTTACCCCGAGATGATAAATCTAATATACATTTATTGAATTTACAAGAAGATGAAAAAGGAATACCCAGATATCTATCATATGAATCAACTTTTAAGACACGTTCACCTTTATAAAACCATTTCTCATTTATCGATAAGAGCCCACGTCTTCTAAGAACAACAATCTGAGTTTTCTCTAGATTAACTGTCAATCCCCACGTGTCTGCATATGATTCTAGAATTGCTAGTTGTCTTAGCAGACCCGATATAACATCAGAAACTAAACTCACATTGTCAGCAAATAATTTCGAGCATATCTGGAAATAATTGCAAACCAAATTTTCCGTGTTGTGTTATTTCAAATGACAATTGCTTTATAAAGAACGAGAAGGGGAGTGGACATCCCTGCCTTATTCCTATTGGACATTCAAAAAAGTCTGATAAAACATTATCCTTTTTTACACAGGCTTTAACAGAGCTATAAATACTTTTCAGTGCTCTATGCATCTTTCCACTTTACCAGATGCATAAAGATATTCACAGAGTTTCTTACGGTCTATCGAAACAATTAAAGACCTTTCGGAAGTCGACAAAGGCGACATATAACTTCAAGGTCAAGGTCTGATGGTCATGGGCTGGTGGTCAAGGTCTGATGTCAAAGGACAGTGGATCAGAGGACAGGACAGAATGTTTTCTTTTACTGTATCCTTTGAAATATCATTCTTGTTCTTGTAGCATGAAATGAATGCAAAAAGGTGACAAAGACTTTATCAATGACGGGCGTCATGGGAATTTCAGTGCAGAGTTAGTCCCTAGGACTCCATGATACTACTGACCTAATTCACTATTCCCAGCTCTCAGAAACATTTGATGTAGAGTAGGCCACCTTCAAGACACCCAACACGTGTGAAGCAGATGCATACATACATCTAAATACTGGAAATAAATTCAGGATAAGGTACCTTTCTATTCATATATTTCTATGTTTAACTGTGGAGGTGATGAGAGTTTTAATGCCGCTTTGAGCAGTATTTCAGTGTCTTGATGCGGTTTGAGACATTTGCTAATACAGGCAGGATGCTGACAACCTTGAAACACAAGCAGGGCGAAGTGGGAGTCAACAGCATTACTAAACACTTCCGACACTCCTGACGAGGGGAACTTTGCACACCAGAGCGTGGTACCTGAGATGCCGGCATTCATTAATGTCCGCCAGCTAAAGGAATGTCAACAGATCACAGGTATTGATGTGAAGTTTTCACATCTTGACGATACCACTCCCAATCAATTGTAGGTTGTATTGATTTTTTAGCCACTGTGCCATAGACAAACAAGATGTACAGATGTTCTATAATAGTCAAGGTCAGATTCGAAGAAGGATGTTGCCAACGCGGAATTATACAGACACAAATATAAACAGATTGTGTTATGGTCACCATTGTTTTCGCTGTCCCCGTTCACAGGAACTACAGTTGAATTCCAAATCAACTCATTGGGAGCATAAGATTAACGGGCCTTTCTCAAACACCTGGTGTCACGTTTGAAGGTTTAGTGATCCATGGTGCACTATTTTTGTGGGAATTTGTAACTTTCTTTATCATACCACGATCTACTGTGAGTGAGTGAGTGACGCCGCTTTTAGCAATATTCTAGCAATATCATGACTTAAACCTTGGTCTTTGGCATGATGAGCGAACGCTTTAACATCTAGACATACCCTTCACCCCACACCTATATTGGGGAGCATGGGTGTGCACCCCACGTCTGGATGCATACTATACAGCATGATTAAGATTCAGACGTTAGAAAAATATCTGACTAAATCCTTTGGCGACTTGTTTTCATTAAAAATACTTATTACCAGTAATTAACTCCTGTTATGCATCTCAAGTACACTCCCCTTGCTTTTCCAAACAATATTTCCCAATCCCCTGCCACCCCAAGACACCCCTTACAATCTGCATCTGCACTTGCTCAACCCTCCCAGGTGATGGCAGGATAAATAGTCTCAGGTGTACAGATGCATTCTTGCATTTCGTCCACAGAATACATTCACTAAATTTCATGATTAATTCAGTAATGCTTTCTCAAAGAACAAATCAACACATCGATATAATTGCTACGGTTTATTCACATGTCTTTGTTTTTCTTATACATAGTAAGTTATATCCTATTTCAATATTCAGTAAATTTCAATAAGAAGTCGGTTTTCTTTCTGTGCAGTGTATTTGGAAGGGAATAAATATGTTCACCAATACAGCATCTGTAGTTGAACATGGCGTTAACAGTCTTAAGGCCAACTCAGATATATTTGTACTCTTTTTTCATTTTAAGCCTTTTTATAAATCATTTTAAGCCTTTTTTATAAATAGACAATGAAAAATACACACAATGTTCAATATTGTCTATTCAAAACAGAGGTGTTTAACTCTATAGACAAAAGGGAACAGTGAGTAGTGACTACACACTTATTCAGTAGTTTCCCAGATACTGCTTGAATGCATTCCATTTTGTACTCCATTGGAGACCCAGTTGTTTTCATTTTCAGGCTTTTTTAAACAAATACATGCATATTCACTTTCATGCATTTATAAAAGAGAGACAAACGAGTGGATATGCAACAACAGATTTCTGGTTTCTAGACTTGGTTTTGAGCTTTAGACAACAGAGATAAGAGAATAGTTACCAGTGGTTTTGCTTGTTGTGGAGTAGTTTCCAAGATACTGCATGAATGTATTGAGCCAGTGACTATTTGTATAGCCACACAATGTATGAATTCCCGGTGCCATACTCATCAACTGTGAGGAAGAAGAACAATCATAGGAATGACAACATGGACAAGTCTTTCTGGATGATCAACTTCTTTATTGTACAATAGCGACGTTTCGGTATAGATACTTATACCATTTTCACACATTCAAATTTTCAACCAAAACATATAATGCTTGAAAACGGTATAAGTATCTATACCAAACGTCATTATTGTACAATAAAGACTAGTTGATCTATAAATATTCCTGCACTTCCTTTGTACCCATGTGAGAGGCATTTAGAAGTTGGGGCAGTAAGGAAGGAAAACAAAATATGGATGAGCAACCTTTTATTGCTCACAGCAATTAAGAAGTTGTTCATCCATATTGTTATCCTTCCCTATAAAGACTTGTCATTCCTATTACTCTCAAACTCAAGAATCCTTAATCATAAGTTAATATACATGATGCATTCTTTCTATTTCATCTCATTTCTAACATAACAAGAATTTAGTCCAGAATTATACTTCATGTAAAAACTGAAATATGTGGTGTATAAAAGAGTTACCTGAATCAACTGATCCAAGTTTTCTTAGGGCTGCCAATATTGTGGAGTGTTAGTATATTTCTATACTAAATGCTTTCACAACTGTTCTCACACTGTACATATATAACACATGGAGAATTACCACACTACTGATCACAGTCTACTGATCACAGTCTACTGATCACAGTCTACCCGTTGAACAATGACTGGCTTTATGGACAATGATAGTACTGAATAGTTGAATCATTTGTACAATATTGTCACTTTGTTCCATGTTCACAACATACATAGATCATCACAGGAAACATACTTCAACATAAACACATTCAACAAAGTAATTTCAGCTCCATATGAGAGACAGACACAGACAGACACACACAGACACACACACACACTCACATTTTGATCACACTGCTCTTGGGCAACAACATTCAAGCACTTTTTCATGAGCATCCTCCAAAGACTCTAGATTATGATTCACAACTTCACAATGAGGATGACGTTTATTCCTCAAACATCCACACACAGGCCAGAAGAAGATGGCTGTAACAGAAACACAGAAGTAGACAAATCAACAGTTGCCACTTGTCCTATTCACACCTCTACACTCTTTTGCTATACCTGATATATATTTTAAGATATATTTTCATCATATCCTATCATATATAGTTGATTTCAAGGACTTTGTCGTTCAACACCTACCCATTCCTCAGCACTTTACACTAAAGTCTGTAATCTTCCATTCAAAATCTGTAACATACCAAGCTAAACCCTCCTGTATATAAATAATGCCACTTCAACACTTAATGCCAGTTTAAGTCTTCTGCTTCAGAGGTCTGTCATTGTTGACTTGTAGATAATGAAGTGAACTGGAATGGTGAGACCACTGTCCATGTCAGACATCCAACCTCTGTAGAAATATCAGGAGGTGGAAGTACTGGCCACAGGTTTCAGTTTCTTGGCACCAACAGCTGCAACAGCAAACATGTCTTTGTGGAATGTTTTCTCTAAGCTGTGATTTACATCAATACTTCAGTCCTTAAATGTCTTTTCGGTGGTTTACCAAAGCAGCCATCACAAAAGTGAGTGAGTGAGTGAGTTTAGTTTTACGCCACTTTTAGCAATATTCCAGCAATATGACAGTGGGGGAATACCAGAAATGGGCTTCACACATTGTACCCATGTGGGGAATCGAACCCGGGTCTTCCGTGTGACAAGCGAACGACCATCGCAAAAGAAGACTGAACTAAAATATATATCTAACAAATGTTTTTGGAGCGTGTATTTCATGAGTGAGTGTTGTCATGGTTACTAGGTAGCAATGGAAATAATTTAAGAGCTAGCAATCAAGCTCCTGGCCACCATACTGACGGAGTGAGATAACAGACTCTGCTGAAACAAGCGTCAAACCATCTACAAGAGTCAGTATGTTACCATCAAGTTAAGTTAAGCAAGTATATATTTTTATTGCTTTTTCTTTAAAAGGTTTTGGCCCAACAAGTGTAAACAAAGCAATATAAGCTAAAATGTGTCACTAACAGTGATAATTTCAACATTCCTGCAGCCTCGAACTTCATGGCTACTTTCATCAAATGCTATTACCCATAGTATCTTTACTTAAAGGGGAAGTGTACACGAAAATTAACCTTTTTGTCTTCCACTTTTTCATCGTAAGAAATGTTTGTCAAGTTGTTTTATAGCCAAAACAACACAGATATCAGAAGTAACTAATTTATTTTTTGCGTTATACCAATTCAAAGGTTCCACATTAACCGAATGTTCTATGTCCACAATGAACACACCATGGCTTATGTCCCTTGGAAATGACGTCATTGGTGCCCAAATGATAAACGAATGATGTCGTTAGACCTTATTAGAACCATTTCACGTAGTGCAGGTATAGGTGTGGTTCTTGTGTCTCGATGCGCAGGCTACTGTTTTAATCCACCTGTTGCCTGGCCGTCAGCTGGCTATGTGGTTGGTTCCACACTAGCTGTTACATTGTACAAAAAGTGTTACCACTTAACCAAATTGTATAACATTCAACCTGAGTCGGTCGTCTTTCCAATCAATTTCTTTCACCAAAACTCGAACGTACATATGCACTACATCTAGCGTGCCATCGGTGAATGTGAAGGCATTCTACATTTGGTACATTCCTACATTTAAAGCGGATAATATATGTCCGTCCTCTTCAACCTTCACATTGATGCCGTAACCATATCCAAAAACATCACAAAGATACGCACGCCATTTTGAGAAAGTCGCTTCCCGATAGTGATGTCATACGTACGTCAACAATGTTATACATATTTGGTGTTTTCATTGAGGTGAGGTTATGAATGAAAATACACACGATTTCTATCTTGTTGCTTACATTGTCAGTTCTAATGCTTCTTTTGTATTTTACATCCGTGTTTTTGCGTCTCCCTAGGGCTCCTTTTCAATATAAATGGGCTTGTTTGTTACTATCAAAATTATATATATTCAGAGACTAAGCCTTAGTCTAGGACTAGACAGGAGACCTGTTTAAATCAGCTGGCACCAATTACGTCATAATCAAAGGGCAGTAACTCTGGCCTGTTTAGCTCGGCAAACTGAGGCCTCATAATGGCATAACATGTCAGCACTTATAGTGCGGGTTATACACTCATTGTAAGAAAAATTAGTGTATATTTTCAAACACTGATATTAAGTAATTAAAAAATTCCATTTTGGTTCACATAAGAAAAAACATGACTTTTTCGTGTACATTTCCCCTTTAAACACTCCTCAGATTTCTTGGCCAAGTATTTAACAATAATAAAAATAAAACATTCATATAAAACATTATTAAATAAACAGCATTCAGTATTGTGTACCAAATTTGTTTGTTGTTTTAACATTGCATTAAGCAATATTCCAGCAGGGCGCCCAGCCACAGAATCTGTTTGTGTGACAGACTACTGTACCAATCACCGCTCCCTTACCTTTAACATAGCAGACCTCAGCATCCACTCCCAGTTTGAGCAGGGCATCCAGCCACAGAATCTGTTTGTGTGACAGACGATCCCCTGGGCCTTTGACCTCACAGATCTGATGGGAATCAGGCACTTATAGAAATATCTCACTGAACTGTGATCCACACAGTATGTAGGTTACTTCAATGAAGAGTTCATTCATGAAAATATCTTACATAGTTAGATATAACTTAATACATTTTCAAAGTTTAATATATATTTCAAGATTTATTACTCAAATATTACAGAATTACACTGTATATTGATACATATATTTACAAATACAAATTGGTTAAGATTATATTACATTTTTTTAAAGCGAGAAAAACACATCTTACAAAGGTGACACCAATGTCACATAGCAGACATGCTACAGGGCACAGTGAGATGGAAACAGTACCTTGAATGTTTTAGTATCTGTGTTCCACAGAGTGAGGTCGGGGAAGCCGCTGCGTGTATGTCGAGGCTCCATGGCATACCGCCTCATCATCCCTGCCAACTTCTTCCCTCCAATACAGCTCACCAGCCCCTGCAGGGAGAGAGACAGACACTAGATACCATGCTGGTTCCATGGATGTATTAGTGACTGGGGGAAGATTTACAAACAACACTATCATTTAGATTGCATCCATATGTACTTCTGGTGATGGATCTTGTGGTAGTTAATGGGTTTACATCATGTTGTGAGTACCTGAGCATGTTCCAGACTCTTGAATCTCTCCCAGTTGAGGCCTGCACACATCTCTCCATTGTGGTCATTCCAGGTAGCTGCCATCATGTCATGTAGAGCCTGGGCAAGGAGAGAATTGGTGAGTGATGAGAATGTAACTCTGCTCTCATTCAGTGAAAGAAAAAGCTTTCCATGCAGAGGAAAAGCCCAGTAGGAGATGTTTCAAAAAGGAGAGCCTATCAGAAGATGTTTGTATAAGGAGACCCTATCAGAAGATGTTTGTATAAGGAGACCCTATCAGAAGATGTTTGTATAAGGAGACCCTATCAGAAGATGTTTGTATAAGGAGACCCTATCAGAAGATGTTTGTATAAGGAGACCCTATCAGATGTTTGTATAAGGAGACCCTATCAGAAGATGTTTGTATAAGGAGACCCTATCAGATGTTTGTATAAGGAGACCCTATCAGATGTTTGCATAAGGAGACCCTATCAGAAGATGTTTGTATAAGGAGACCCTATCAGATAAGGAGACCCTGTTTCCATAAGGAGACCCTATCAGATGTTTGCATAAGGAGACCCTATCAGATGTTTGCATAAGGAGACCCTATCAGAAGATGTTTGTATAAGGAGACCCTATCAGATGTTGTTTGTATAAGGAGACCCTATCAGAAGATGTTTGTATAAGGAGACCCTATCAGAAGATGTTTGTATAAGGAGACCCTATCAGGATGTTTGCATAAGGAGACCCTATCAGATGTTTGTATAAGGAGACCCTATCAGAAGATGTTTGTATAAGGAGACCCTATCAGATGTTTGCATAAGGAGACCCTATCAGAAGATGTTTGTATAAGGAGACCCTATCAGATGTTTGCATAAGGAGACCCTATCAGATGTTTGCATAAGGAGACCCTATCAGAAGATGTTTGTATAAGGAGACCCTATCAGATGTTTGCATAAGGAGACCCTATCAGATGTTTGCATAAGGAGACCCTATCAGATGTTTGTATAAGGAGACCCTATCAGAAGATGTTTGTATAAGGAGACCCTATCAGATGATGTTTGCATAAGGAGACCCTATCAGATGTTTGCATAAGGAGACCCTATCAGATGTTTGCATAAGGAGACCCTATCAGAAGATGTTTGTATAAGGAGACCCTATCAGAAGTTTTTTGTATAAGGAGACCCTATCAGCTGTTTGCATATACAGGAGACCCTATCAGATGTTTGTATAAGGAGACCCAATCAGAAGATGTTTGTATAAGGAGACCCTATCAGAAGATGTTTGTATAAGAAGACCCTATCAGAAGATGTTTGTATAAGGAGACCCTATCAGAAGATGTTTGTATAAGGAGACCCTATCAGATGTTTGCATAAGGAGACCCTATCAGATGTTTGCATAAGGAGACCCTATCAGATGTTTGCATAAGGAGACCCTATCAGAAGATGTTTGTATAAGGAGACCCTATCAGAAGTTTGTATAAGGAGACCTATCAGATGTTTGCATAAGGAGACCCTATCAAGAGTTGTTTGTAGACCTCATCAGATGTTTGCATAAGGAGACCCTATCAGATATTTGCATAAGGAGACCCTATCAGAAGATGTTTGTATAAGGAGACCCTATCAGAAGTTTTTTGTATAAGGAGACCCTATCAGCTGTTTGCATAACGAGACCCTATCAGATGTTTGCATAACGAGACCCAATCAGAAGTTGTTTGTATAAGGAGACCTCATCATTAGATGTTTGTATAAGGAGACCCTATCAGAAGATGTTTGTATAAGGAGACCCTATCAGAAGATGTTTGTATAAGGAAACCCTATCAGAAGTTGTTTGTATAAGGAGACCCTATCAGATCAGATCAGATGTTTGTATAAGGAGACCCTATCAGAAGATGTTTGTATAAGGAGACCCTATCAGAAGATGTTTGTATAAGGAGACCCTATCAGAAGATGTTTGTATAAGGAGACCCTATCAGAAGATGTTTGTATAAGGAGACCCTATCAGAAGATGTTTGTATAAGGAGACCCTATCAGAAGTTGTTTGTATAAGGAGACCCTATCAGATGTTTGTATAAGGAGACCCTATCATAAGATGTTTGTATAAGGAGACCCTATCAGAAGTTGTTTGTATAAGGAGACCCTATCAGAAGATGATTGTATAAGGAGACCTTATCATTAGATGTTTGTTTGAGGAAGCCAAAGCAGGATAAGCTAGTCCTCCTGTTGGAATGCTGGTATTGCCGTCACCTCCTCAGTTGCCTCCTCCAGTTCCTGTAGACGGGTGTCGATGGCCTCCTGTCGCCTGGTGTAGAAGAAGTTGCTGTGGAAGTCCAGGGGCTGAGTCTGGTATGGGCTGTGGAAGGCATCAGGGACGTCCATGAAGACAACATCCCAGAAGTAGAGGTTGAACAGGTTGCTGATGATGGAGCCCTCGGCATGGAGACCTGGGGACATGGTGTCCAGATATTTAACATGGAAGTGTAAATAGAGGAATATCAGCAGGACAGCTAGTTTAGCCAGGGTTCAGAGAGGATAGACAGCACTGGTATAACAAGGTTTTGATCAAAATGCTCATAAGTAACATACAGAAGTGCATATTTAGACATCATTTGTGTTTCAGAGCTTTCTCAAGGACTGAGTGAGAGGCTTAAAGATGATTTTATGAACACACCATATCTAACACAAACAGATGTTCAACATATATCATCCTGCAAGGATTCCAGGCCACACCAGGCCCCCAGTACAGAATCCCTTGATGGAGATGATATTGTGACTGCCTCATGAAACACAACTAAATCTAAAGAAAGTTGTGGCACAAAGTTAGATTTATATGGGAAATACGCTCAGACAATTGGTAATCCCTGCAAGTTTGCAAACTCATACTTTACAATGTAAATCAACCTTGCAATTGATGATAAATAAATACACATACACATTGTTTCTGATTACAATGTCTAGACTTTGATAAAAATGCCAAACAGATCATGAAGGCGTGAGATGTTGGTGAGTGCAACATGTTTAATGCAAACAACAATAATCCATTTCCATCAAATGAAAAATGCCTTATGGACCCTCCATCGAAGAAACTTGAAGAGTAGCCATTGTGACCACTAATTAGGGCTGTATGGATGGATTGATAGATTGCAATTGTTGAGTCTATGATAGCAATTAATCAATGGTAGAAACGAAAAACTATCGATGCATTGATAGTATGTATGTATCAATTGACTTCCATTGATAAATGTTCAGCGTAAAATACGGTATGTTTGGGTGCAGACTTGCAGCTTCATTGAGTTTATGTTTTAACTGTTTACTTGATCTGGGTTTCAAGTTTCTTGTCAATTATTAAAAGAGACTGAAACTACTTCTAAACTAAACTTTCATTTGGGAAATGACTTCAAATGAGACAATTCAAGGAGAAAACAAATATTGCAATAGTACTGCAATAGTTGGTCACAAGAGACTATTGCTATCGCAATAGTATGTTGCAATAGACTTTCACCATCGCAATAGTTGTTTCCCCCCTCAATAGTCACCCCTACCACAAATACAATACGTTTGGTTGCAACCGATGACAAACACAAGGTCAGAAACAAACCAAAGCACATGGATCAACGTATGAGCATCTCTCACCTTCAGGGTACCCGTGGTTCTTGTAGTGGCCGAGGACCAGTTCCTCCACCGCGCAGACCGTCACATCCTCAGAGTTGCCATCGACGTACGAGTCCTCCGTCATAAAGCTTAACTTGAGCCCAGGGATGGAATGAGGCAACACCCGCCCTTCTAGAGTTTGCTGTGGAAGAATGGAATTATTCACACATGTAATCCCAGCCAACTGAAATCTATCCATTCCTCTATACCATTTGGTGTTTACTCTTCATCATTAATATTTACCAGATGCGAGTGTTCAAGTATATTAAATGTCAACCACAAGACAAAGTCTATGAAATTTAATATTTGGGAATAAATTGTATCTAGCAAACCTTTGGTGCCTCTATGACTTCATCATGTGAGAATTTCTTCATCCGGTGCCTGTATTTGGAATTGGGTCCAGTACAGAGTTTCTCTGCTCTAAGGTACAAGGCCAGGCGATGTCCGACCTTGACACAAGGGTCAGCAAGCCCCTTAGATATTGCCTCTAGGGCCTGAAACATAACAAACATTGCAGGAGCTAGACATCAGTTGTCATTACACAGGGCAAGCTTTCCATCAATCCATCAAATAACCTCCAAGTGTTTCTTTAGATCGGCCTAATGGTTGAGGAGTTATCTTTCCATTCATTAATCTCTCTACTCTTTACCTCTCAATATACAAGCCCATTTCTGGTATTCCCTGCTGTGACATTGCTGGAATATTGCTAAAAGGATAACCAAACTCACTTTTAATTTACATGGTATCATCCCATGGGGATGCAGGTTAGAATTGATGTTCAGCAGCCCTTGCTTAAAGCTAGGCCACAAACAGGATAGGGTGGTATGGCTCAGTGCCTCGGCTGATGCATGTCATCGGATCCCACTTGCATAGATCGATATATATGGATTTCCAGATTTGATTATTTACAGACTGCTGTCATGTATCTGAAGTATTGCCGAGTGTGGTGTTACACATCAAATGAACATGGTACCAGTAGATATTAACTGAATAGATTCCCAGCCATCTACACTTGTTGTAAGCAGAGACTTAATGGGTCACATTTCCAGTCTCAGGGTCCTGGTGGATTGTGTCATTAAATCCAGAGGGATATACTGATGCTAATAATATAAATCACTGGATTATCTGGTCACAGACTTGATTACTTACATGCTACAGTCATAAAGCTGAGTTACAGAGGAGTATGCTAAATACAACAAGTTACATTCTGCTACCAGTCCCCTCCAATAGTCCTAGGCCAAATGTTAGAAAAGTCCCTATCTTTTAGGATCTCTCAGCAGCAGTAAAAGCATTATCCAGTAATTGGTATGACAACTCCCACCCTCCAGAGATTCTTGTCAATGTGGAACTAGACACAGAATGTATTAGGTTGCTGAAAACAAACAAGGTTTACCCTGCTGTTGAAACAGTGTCCACATGTTCATAGACCAACTTCATGAGGATTAACCGCATGGTGTAATGGACGGTGACAAGCACTGGTGTTCAACATGATCAGGATATGCAGTATGGGTGATAAGGCCTGGTGTATCATATTACCTGATAATGATGTTATCTCTACATTTGGCCTAGGAGTACCAACCAACAATCTCTCAATCAACACACCTGCTGAGGTTTCTTGAGATGGACCTCCAGGTTGAGGGCGAGTCTCTCCCACCAGTACCCCCGGTAGTCGTTACAGTACACGTCTTGTCCCAGCAGCTCCTCTATGAGTGCCACTGCGGCGGGGTAGTCCTTCCTGCGCTGCACAATCTCGATACCCTGGTTCAGGACTTTAGTCAGGACAGACCCAGCTGTGCAGGACCGCAGGTAGAAGGGCAGCGACTTGTCAAAACTGAAACAGGTTCACCTTAGTCACAGTAATATGAACATCAACAGCCTCGGAAGCAGTTCTAGCAGACCATGCTGAATACATACATACACCATCATTCCTTAAGACAAACATGTTAAGATTATACTCTTCTTGACAAGTTGTGTATGTGTAATCAGATAATACACACCCTTGTATAAGATGTGTGTCCATCAGATGCTATATTCCCTACCTGACCAGCTGCTTGTTCTTCATCAATGCCAGGTAATCCTCCCTGGCCTCCAGGTAATGGCTGTATGCCCCAGCCCAGTTGTTCTTATCCACACATCCAGACAGGTCGTTGTCACACTGCATAGCTCGCTCAAACCTAGAGACATCATAGTACTTATTATATACTTCAAGTTGTTACCTGCTATACAAAAAAACATACATTGTGGTGTCAGGATAACTCATGACATGACAATGGTCTGCAATGTAGTACGCTGTAATTTCATTTTGTTGATATCTCCCATGGAAGCCAGGTGAGATGAGAAATCCCTCCAAACAAGACTGTACCATTTACAGTGACATTCAGTTTATCAAGACAGTGCCATTTCCAATCCAGAAACAGACCATTCTCTGAAATTATGTAATTTTCCGAATAAAATTGATATTTTATACTTATCCTGACTCATGCTACTTGCTTGTCTTCTTCTTCTTGCGAACACAGTGGAACACTTGTATCTCCCAATTGAAGTTCCCTTCAATGTAAAATCACTAATTAGTACTCACCACGAGTTATCTGTCCCCTCAAAAGTGCGGGAACGAGGGCGCCACCTCCTGCCATGTGCCTCACTCTCTCCTGATATAGCGAGCCCAACACTTGAATTTTCAGGGAAATCCAAAGTGTTATGTGGGGAGGATGGGAGGGCTTACCTCATGAGTCAGGATAAGTATAAAATATCAATTCTATTCAGAAAATTACATATTTTTCCTTATCCTGACTCATGCTACTTGCTTGTAGAATCCGACGGAAATGGAGGTGGGAATACAGAATACTTTGGATTTAAATAATTAGTGATTTGTACTGTAATGACTGTAATAACCCTTATGGGAACTTCATAAAGGCACTGAATTGATGAATTCCTGCTGCTAACTTATCAGCTGCCATATATGGGTTATTACAATATAAATATTATGATAAAAGTATATATATACAACATGAATACTATGCTTTAGACTAAATAGACTTAAGCTTGACAATATGATAGCATAAACTTCATAGAGTTTGTTAGCTAATATACTTTTATGATATAACTATAGTACTGAGCTTAAGATATGATTAAACTTAAGCTAAAATATATATAACAAACAAACTCCGTAGAGTTTGTTAGCTAATTACTTTATGATATAACTATAGTACTGAGCTTAAGATATGATTAAACTTAAGCTAAATATATAATAGCAAAAAACTCCGTAGAGTTTGTTAGCTAATATACTTTTATGATATAAGCATAGTACTGAGCTTAAGATATGATTAAACTTAAGCTAAATATATAATAGCAAAAAACTGCTGTAGAGTTTGTTAGCTAATATACTGTTATGATATAACAACCATAGTACTGCGCTTAAGATAATAAATGAACTTAAGCAAAAAATATATAATAGCATAAACTTTCTAGAGTTTTTTGCTATGTAGTACTGTTATGAGATAAGTAGTAAAATCTGTAAGATTGACTTATCTTCTCCGAGGAACTGTCAACTGTTGTGCGAGGACCATGGGATCGAAATGGTGGATACCTGAGACGTCCTCGGTGGTGATATCTCTCAGATAGTGGTTGGCAAACACCATTTAGGATCTCCAAAACCAACCTTCCATGATGGTATTCAAAGAGCAGTTGCCGTGAGAGCAAGTGTAGATGCTAGCGCTCTAATTTCATGAGGATTAGATGCTCTTGGAGGGTCGAGTCCTTCAGCCTTGTAGGCACGTAGTATGACAGTTCTGATCCAAATGGAGATAGTAGTACGTGAGACTTCAGTCTGCGTAGCTGTCGATAGAGGAATAAATAATCTCCTGAATTTTAGTCTCCTCTGTTTGGATCGGCGGAGATATATTTTCAGTGCTCTCACTGGGCATAGTGATAGATCCATCCTATCCTGAGGTCCTAGTATAGATGAGAGAGCTGGGACGTGAAATAACCTGTCTGGTTGGCCTGGTAATTGGTTCTTGGCGATAAAATCCCAACGTAGTCCCATATGCAGGATGTTATGAATGTCATCAAAGTGTGTTCTCTCGTAATCTAATGCGTGAATCTCTGACATCCTGGCAGCCGTAGCTAGAGATAACAGGAACAAAGTTTTCTGAGTCAGAAATTCGAACGATGTAGATTCTAATGGTTCATATGCCTCACTTGTGAGGTGTTGGAGCACTATATTTAGGTCCCAAGCTGGAGCGTGAAATCTGCGTTTCTGATCCTCCAATCGGAATGCACGTAGTAAGGCCAGTAACTCTGGGGTCTTGTTTAGCTTGACACCCGTTCTCATAGTTATGACCGAGCTTATTGCTGCAAGATAAGTAGATAAGGTGGAGCCTTTTAGATTTTTAGTCTGACGTAGATAACATAAGTAGTCAGCCACTTGAGGATGAGTAGCATATCTAGCTGTAAATCCTTTCTTTGCAGCATAATTGACAAAACTGTGCCACTTGTCATCGCAAGTTGCGAAAGTGAGAGTTACGCAAGGCAAGCGTGACTGCTTTCGCCGCTCTGGCTGAATAACCTCTTTTATTTAGACACGCCTTAATACAGTCCATACGTGAATTTGGAATGCTTTTGGCTTTCCGTGTGCTTGTTTGGTGTGCGGATGTATTAACAGATTCTGGCACTTTGGAAGTTGTAGTATTGGTTGTCCGATTTCTTGAATAAGAGTAGGAAACCACGTTCTCACTGGCCAGTAGGGCGCTACCAAAACAGTTGGATTTTGAGTAACACTTGTGGGATTAACGCTGGCGGCAGGAACGCGTACGCGTTGAGTCCTTCCCACGATATGCTTAGTGCGTCCGTTGCCCATGCTAGTGGGTCTGGAACTGGCGATACGAATGTTGTCAGTTGATTGTTGAATCGAGTGGCAAATAGGTCTATTAGTGGAGCTCCTATTTCCTTGATAATTTGTGCGAATATCTCTGTATGGAGCATCCATTCTGTCGGCGATGGTAGGTGTGGCCGAGAGAGAGCGTCTGCTATTACATTCTTTGCTCCTGGAATGTGACATGCTCTGACATGTATGTTGAGATTGTCGATTAAATCGAACAATTGAAAACATAGAGTCAATAGGTTCGGGGACCTGGTTGAGCCTTGTTTGTTCACATAAAACGCCACTGTCGAATTGTCTGTGTGAATCATCAACTGAGCATTCTGTAGTAAGTTGCTCCAGCGCATTATGGCGTTTATCACTGCTTGCATCTCTAGCAGATTTATGTGTAATTTGCTCTCTTGATTGCTCCATGGCCCTGATGCCGTCCTGTTGGCGAGATGGGCTCCCCAACCTTTCAGTGACACGTCTACGTAGAGATGTGTTTTCGATTCCGGCTCTATTAAGGAGATGCCTACGCAAACATTCGATCTCTTGGTCCACCATAGTAGGTGAGGTTTGACGTGATCCGGTAGACTGAACGGTAGAGAGTCGTCGAGATGCGAATTGATGAGGACTTGTAACGGACGTAATTGTAGTCTGCCTTTGACTGTCATGTCTTGAGCTGAAGTGAGTAACCCCAACAGGCTCTGCCACTGTCGTAGTGGTAGCGGAGAGAGTAAGGCTTGTGGGATTGACTGTTGGATCTTGATCCATCGGTCCTCCGGTACAATTATACGATTCTGCGCCGTTACAAATCAAATACCTAGAAATTGCAGATCTTGCGTAGGTTCTAGGTCCGACTTAAGTAGATTTACTAACCATCCTAGTTGTGTTAGTAGCTTGATGATGAAGTTCAACTGTAGTCTGAGACGCTGTGGATCTGGATCCACTTGTATCCCGTCGTCGAGGTAAAACGCGCTGCGAAGTCCTTGACGATGTAGGTGAACATCCAGGGGTGACTGCCATTGTTGAACTTTATGTAAAAAATCGCCTGACTGCCGTGCCCTCGTCCTTACTTGACAGGGGAGGTCTCTAACCTCATGAAGGCAGCCCAATCATGAAGGTTCAGTTAAACTGGACTGTATGGAGCTTTGCTCGTTCACTGATATGTTGTTGTCACTTGCAACCTATGTCTTGAACTGTGAACTATGATCGACCTCTGTGCGTAGGGCGTTGTCCCTCGCGGTCCAATCAGAACAAGGCATTTTGATTCTGTAGTGTACCCGCACTGTGATGTCACCGGTGTAGCAGGAAAAGGAACCTTGTATAATTTAGTGCCGTCGTTGATATTAGATCAATCGTCGGTCTTGTCCGTAACTTCCGGAAGTTACACGAGTGACCACGTGTTTCGAGGGTTAATGGTAAACGCGCGAATCTTTCGCTGCGAATTACCTCGCCCTGTAATATTAATGCTGGGTAGGTTATTTTCCTGGCTGCTGTGAATGTAACTTCAGTCTTGAAGATAATGCCGACTTCCTTATATATAGGCTCAATAAAACTTGCAAGTTGTCAGCTTGAAGACTGCATACCTCAATGCAGCGTCATAATTGTAGAATTAATGCTGAACTTGTTGTACATATTTCTTCTCAGGAAATCGTTGACGATTATGTGTTTTACTTGCTGTAACAAGGCTGCTGCTCAATTCCGTTATTGAATTGTCTGCAGATCTGCGTAGTGGTCAACTTGGTGTGACTGTGTGGCGCCTTGCATGTAGATAATCGTATCGTAGTCCGGGATTGCATATCTAGCAATATATATGGAAATGGTGATTCCTGTGATGATCTGCAAAACGTCGTTGATGCCCTTGATGTAGGTAGTCGGCCTGAAGATCCTTAATTAGGCTCTTCATCTGTAAATAGTACTTCGCGTAACTATATAACGTTCAAGTTAAAAAGTTAAGTACTGCGACATCTCTGTCTTGTGGATGTCTGTGCGAATACCTTCGCGCAGGCTCGGTAATGACATATAGCGTTCTGTTGATAAAATAAAAACAGCGACGTTCTGCGTTGTAAATAGCCTGTGCGAATGCCTTCGCGTAGGCTTGTTGGGTGACCTGTAGCTTCGCTAAGGTCCTAATGAATCCCTCAACAAACTATAGGACAAAGAATTGTAGAACGGACTGACGAGTGGCTTCTATAGGGAGACCTTCGTGGAGACTTCCTTGGCGAACGATGGTGGCTTCCTGAAGCTCTCGGTGAATCCCTTATAGATCTTCAGAATGACGATGACTTGAAGCCACTTAGGAGCCATGGTGAGGATCAAGGTCCTTCGTGGAGGCGGACTGGGACGTCCTTCGCTAAGGCTTCGATACGGGCTGGGTTGCCCTTCGTGGAGGCGCGTCTGTGGGCTCTGGGGCCCTACGCGAAGTCAAGCTAGCGGGCTCTGGGGCCCTACAAGACTGTAAGTGGGGTGGGCTCTGAGGCCTCTGTAAACCGTATCGATCTTCCATCAACATCATGATCTGGTTGACCAGGTCGTCTGGGACGGTCTGCGCTGATGTAGACGCTGCCCTCTCTATGGTAGCGACGGGACCCTCAGGTAGATTCTCTGCCGTCAGTGTAGGCTGACTGACTGACTGACTGAGTTTAGTTTTACGCCACTTTTAGCAATATTCCAGCAATATCACGGCGGGGGACACGTCAGTGTAGGCATCTCCAGCTGAGTGCTGATCTACCCTGAGGTGACGGTAGCCGATACTGGTCGCTTCTTATGCCGTACATCTGGAATGATGATCGGAAGGTCGTCATCATATAAGCCCAATTCTGAAACAGGAAGTATGTCAGATGAAATTTTTTTAGTAGTCTTCGTGGGTTTCCCTTTCGACGAAGATGTAGCCCTGGGGGTGCGGAGCGTACGTGCTGTGACGACGTGGAAGCTCTCCTGGTCTTAGACTGGGACGACGGGATGTCCTGAGATGCAGGTCGCTTCTTGGAGATAGTGGACTGAGTCCCACGCCTCTCCCGAGGGTAACTCAAGCGGAACACCAGACGGTAGGGGTCGTCCGCCAACAGTTGACAGGGTATATCAGACTCTGATCTATTAGCCATGACTGAAGTCTGTTTCCGTGATCTATCTGCTGCGCTGCGTCTCAAGACGCAAAATAAATATTTATCAAAGGCAGAATTAGATAATTTAATACAATAATTGCAACGTGAAACAGTAGAGATTGGCGTAGTACAACTAGGGCATATTAAATGCGGATCAGCAGCAGAGAAACGTAATTTACAAACAGTGCAGATTTTCATTAACGCAATCTACTGAGCAATCACGGCGAACCGTGAATAAAACAGTAGAAACAAGAAAAAATATCAATGCATTATGTAGAAGGATACTAGTTACACCTCTATAGATGATTATAAGAGGTAAACAACTAAATATAAATAAAGGATATAATGTGTAGGGAGACACAGGCGCTCTAACGTCCTGCTCACTGGGCGAAGAAGGAGAGAGTGAGGCACATGGCAGAAGGTGGCGCCCCGGTTCCCGCACTTTTGAGGGGACAGATAACTCGTGGTGAGTACTAATTAGTGATTTTACATTGAAGGGAACTTCAATTGGGAGATACAAGTGTTCCACTGTGTTCGCAAGAAGAAGAAGACAAGCAAGTAGCATGAGTCAGGATAAGGAAAAATATATAATTTTGATAGAGAATTCAATTTAAATTGAAAAGGAGCCCAGCTCGGTAGGAGATTCAGAACCTGAGGAATATCAAGACTTGCTTGTTTTAGGGCTTTTGCATTACAGTCCAGATAGGACTGTGAGGAACATCAAATAATATGGTTCACGGACTGCAAGACAGTATAACAAACTAAAAAGGTATCACTATGTTATTAGTTACACAGCTTTTTGCCAGGTAGTACGGCATGGTATGGCCTGTTTGAAGACATATTTCCTGATGCGAAAGAAATATATGGCTTCAAGCAGGCTTTACCTTCCCATACTACAGGCAAATGGCTGTGCAATACATTTTTACCCTGTAGATATGTTTGGTGTTTTTTGTGCATTTTTCTTCTATATCTGCTGCAGTATTTGAGGTAAAGCATTTCACCATGATTGTTGTCACAGACGATATTGATATTCAAAGGGACATAACTCTTGTAATGACGCATACAACTTTATAGATACCAACTTTTTGCAAAGTGCGATGTGTCACACTCACCATCTTCTAGAAGGATGATTAAAAAAATATCACCATTTAGGTTATATCTTTAGATTCAGTCTATCTCCACTTTATAGATACAAAATAGCATATGCTAAACATATTTTTATAAAAAGAACTTATCGTGATGACAATAGTTGAATTCTCCAAGTGAGTATAATTTCAACAACAAATGTCAAGGTTGTCAATACTACTCGCTGGAACAGGGCAAGATGGATTCATACTACCCATGAATCTATACAGAACAGTTTCATATGCACTGGCTATTAACCAATCAAAAGTCTTCTAATTTATCTTGGGCGGTGGGGTAGCACAGTGGTTAAAGCGTTCGCTAGTCATACCAAAGTGTGAAGCCCATTTCTGGTGTTTCTCACCGTGATATTGCTGGAATATTGCTAAAAGGTGGGTAAAATCCAACTCACTCGCATATAAATGAATACCTTCCTGCTGCATGCTACATCATACAGATACATCCCAGCTACACGCCACTGTATGATGCTCTACCTCTGCTACTGTATCTGTGTCTTACCTCAGCAGCCCCTCCCGGTCCCTGATGAGAGACGTCTGCTTGTTGACCTTGAACTGGGGATACACTACCTTCCCCATGTTGACCAGCAGCATGTGGTAACTGAAACACAGCATCACAGGGATAACTGTTGCAGCTACACAGCATGGGAAACAGTCATCATGTCTCCAGTATAGGTGCCAGGATATTACTTAGTCTGTTCTCAACCCATCAGTCATTTTGAGGCAATCCGAGTTTGGACCTTCATCTTATTTTCACAGAAACATTTTACAGCAAAAGAAAATGATGACTCATGAATGCTTCTATCAGCCAAGGCTACAAAGTTCACAGAACTTAAAACTCCCAGAACCTGGAGATCCTAGGTTATCACAGGTCCCTGTCACCCTATGCTAGTTGCATGAAGCGACTGTGAGACACGGATGGTACAATATCAACAACAGTGCTAGTTTACCAGTATACAGCAACACAGTATTGTATCGTGCTGTGAGGCTTGTAATACAATACATTGTATAACTTCTTTATCGAAATACATATGATTCATTACATTAAGTAATATTGATGCACAAGCATAACAGAATACCCTATGTTAACTTTTCTGTGGTGGTATGATTAGAAAACACACTACAACTGTCACTTTCAAAAACTGGTAAACAATCTTTAGATTGTTCAGTCTGACATGACCAGTAATGGGATGTCCTCAGATCTCCATTCAGCAGCTCTGTTGTGGCTGATAGCCAATCACCATATCCTGACAGTATAGGTTGTTGCTCACAGCTTAAAGACTTGGGACAGAACTGATCTGTGAACATGGTCATACAGCTTGAATGAAGTATGGCATTCAACAACAAGCAATTACTCACAGCTGTGTCTGGCCACCGCTGCCCTGGTCCTCCTCCAGCCACGAGTGGATGACCGAGAACAACATCAGCAACCTCACAAACACCCGTCGGGGACCATCCAGTAGGCGGAATGACCGACCTAGCAGCTTCTTGGCTCTGTTCAAAGCGTAAAAAGATGACAATTTATCATGTAATGAGATGGGCAAGAAAACAGCAATAGTATGTTTTGGCTCATCAGTCAGTTTGTACATTTGTAACTCTATAAATTGGTGCAAGTGATAGGAGACAATACATCTAGTTGGCAATACTATTTTCATTGGTCTTCCATGGATGATCCTTTATTTCACCACCAATGGCCGGGTGCTTTCTCACAATACCCATGTGAGGTGAGGTCAAATTGGGTTTAACGTCGTGCTTGAGAATATTTCGCTCACATGACGACGTGCATGCGTGTGTATGTGTATGTGCGGCTGCTTGTACTAGCCCAGACTTAAGCTGGTTTTATAGTGCTAGCCCACTGAGATACCATGCCGCAGTGAAGCATGAATACCCCACTCTGACACATTATACTGACCCCGAGCCGACCAGTCCTTGTTGTACCCATTAATGCCGAGCGCCAGGCAGGGACCAACAAGTACCATATTTTAACGTCTTTCGGTATGACGCGGTCGGGGATCGAATCCGCGACCTTCCGCTCTCCGGGCGGACGCTCTTACCACTACACCACCGAGGCAGTCCACTATACCCATGTGGTTAATGTTCCAGTTAGCACTAACGTTGTGACAGGCCCTCCCTGCTTCATGCATCCCTTTAACTTGCCATCGCCTATTTTCAGAAAGTCTATGTAATGCCTTGTGTAAAGTTCAGTACTATCATCTGTTATATCAGTTCAGAACACTGTAGTGCACATACTTCAATCATGAAATCAATACCTGCATGTGCTTGGCACCTGCGCAACACAGGAACATGCAACCCATATCTTTTGAGATATTGTTTGACACACATTCTTTACATGTGTATTCCAGAATGCTAGGGTATGGGTAAATTGCCCTTCGATTCAGGTGGTGCTTAATTAAATCTCATTTGTATATAATCGATGTACTCTACCTTCCCAGCATGGCTGCACCTGCCCCTTTCCCTCCTCCCCCGAACATGGACGTCACTGTGCTCTGTTTGCTCTTCTTTAGCAGAGCATCGCATGTCTGTGGCTTGGTCAGACCTGCCCCATTGATGTGGAATGATTTGGCCAAAGTCTTCAGGTCGCCAGCAGACATGACCTTCAGAGTCTGTTCAAGGTCATCAAGGCTAGATTCTGCAGCATAAACACATGAACATTTTGCTTACTACATACTCACGGTCAGTTTGTTTGAAATTTACAGGTCCTTAAGGCCGACAGCTTTTTCATCCCCAATAACTAAGAGTATTATTTCCATATTAAAATATAGGGCTTCACATTCTGACCAGGACCCACAACTTTTTATGGTTCTGGGTAAAGTAGGGCCTGCAACTTTTCAGAGTTAAGGGCAAACACTGCTGAGGGTCTACTAGAAAACATAAACATTTATATCCAAGTAGTCCACATCTCATATGAGACGCCATTGGATATCGCAGAATGTTATTGGAGGATTTTTAAGGGATCTGATGGAACATTGTTGACAGCTGCATTTAAAAACATACAAAAATACTGATTTTCTTAATAAAACCTAACTTGACATTTGGAAAAGTTATACAAAAGGAATAGATGTGTGAATAAACTTTGCAAGGGGTCTTTTCCAAAAGCATATATTAGTAGCTGGTTAGAGTATCCTTTCAATAAATTTAAAGTTAAAAGAAAGTTTTTCATAAATCAAGCATTGTGTAAGTTTAAGCAAAAGAGCTCCTTGATCATTCATTATGTGACCAAGTTATTCATTGATCTTTAGAATTGTGATAATGTTCTGGCTGATCACATGACTCTCCTCACCGGACATGGCCATCCCAGCATCCACTAACTCCTGCAGGACTGTGGTCAGATCATTGCCGATCTCCGGGTACGAGATCTTACCCACTGGCAACCATGACAGTTTCCTTGAGAAAAGTCGAACATACAGCTTCTGGCCTGACTCTGAAACAACAAAAGAAAATACAAAGAGATAGACAGGAGCAAATACTGAAGTCATTGAATACAGCAAATTAAACGATTTTTCACAAGATCTAACCCTGATAGGTCTGAATTTTATGCTTCAGGCAGATCTACATGACCTCAGCAAAACCTATCTAATATATCAACAGCACAGGTAAAAGTAGAACCAGGAACACTCAGGTGAAAATATGTAAGTTCTTTAGACATGTTCTATACAAATGACCAGGTTTGACTATGATGGACATCAAAAGCATCTCCACTGTTGTGACCAAATATTTCAAATACACCTGCCAGGGTGATATCCTGTCTGATATACTGTGAAAGCCTTAGTCTAGATGGTGGCATTCACAGTACATTTATTAAAAGATAACACAGTAAAAATATAACTGTTCTTCAGCGCAATGTTGTTGATATATTTCATGTACATATAAGTTATTCACTGGCTGCAAGGGGGACATGGGATGATGTTCCTTCTATGTTTGTTTATGTAACCTAGATTATGTTACTTGCTTGTAAGCGGGATAGATTGATTGGCTCAGCCAATCAGAAAACGACATTTAAGTGTGAGGTAATATAATACCCAATCCTTTTAGTACTTATTTGAAAGGGTGACTTTTGAACTCAAACGTTCAGGATTAATTGGGTTCCACCATTGAAATAGAGATGAGGATCACTCATCTCGAAACCTTATCCAGCTGACCTGATAATGTATTGAATGTCTTGATGCAGTTGTTGTCAACATCGTCCAACAGCCTGCAGTTGTCTTCATCAGCCAGCACCGCAGTGAGGACCGTGCGGAAGTTGTCCAGATAGTACGGCACCCGATACTTCCCCTCTCCCTTGTCTTCTGTGTCCTCTGTGTCAGCCGTAGGATCTTCTACTGTCTTCTCACTGGTTCCTGTCCTGTCTTGAGAACATCACAGGGAAATGGAGGAATGACTCTCAATATGTGCTCACAACCTGATCATGAACTACTGTTTCCAGAATCTTCATATAACACTGAACCAAGATCAAACAACATGGATTTATTGTTTAGTTATGATTAAAAAAACGGGTGCATCTTGGTCTTTTTAGTCTGCAAGATTACCTTCATTATAACTCCATTCTAATCAGCCTGTTGGTAATCAAGTGAAGGCCAGGAAAACAAATGGCTACTATGGTAACCGGGGCAACCATCCACCCAATTCCTATATTCAGTAGCTGTTCATAACCAAAGCTACTATATGATTCTCCCCGGGGACATGCACTGCACACTGAGAGATGTTCATGTGTATAATGTATAGGATAACACGGCACTGTCATTAGACTGAAAGTGGAATTGTTCATAATTTATCACTCTCTTGCTCACAGAAATTATAGAAACGTTTCAACCTGCATGACACATGTTTGTTATTTAAATTCCTTGATGTTAAACATAAAGTATTCATAAATAAATATTTGTATCCGTTACTATATATTAGTAAAACATATTGCAGTCACCTCACAGTGTATTCGTTGGGTACCATTCATTGGAGGCCTAATTCCTATCTGTTATTTCTACAGAGTATTGCATACCAGAGACCAATTCCCTTCTGCACTACTCATGAGGGTGAATCCCCTCACAGGTCAATCACTACAGAGTGGAACCTGAATAGAGAAGTTCTCTACAAAGCTTACCATCTTCTTCATCTTTCTCCAGCACACCAGCTCCATCTCCCTGTGCCTGCTGCTCCCTGGATAGTGGGTGCTCTGTTCCCAGATGCTGACCTTCAGACACTGTTCCATCACCGGTTAAATTGGCTGTCTTTTCACTGTGTACTTTTTCAACAGTTGAGTTTTTATCACATGATTTTTCAACCTGAAGTTTCTCCTCTACCTTCTTTTTACTCTGGAACAGTTTGTTCCACAACATTTTAGAATTTTCTCTGGAATTGCTTGAAACAAATTTTGCCTTCACTTCAGACATATCAGAACTGTTACATTGGTTAGACACAGACTCTTTCATCTTCAGTTTCTGCTGTGACTGAATATTTGTTGAATTTGATTTTTTCAAAGGAGGAAGGCTTAATTTTCTTTTCTTTGTCGAATCAACAAAGTCATCATCACTGCCATCATCAGTGATGGAGGCTGAACTACCAGTAGACTCATATCTTAAGTCTATTACTGGGTTTGTGGAGGTGTTTTGTCGTAATGACAGTGATCGTCTATTGGTTTTTTTCTCCTCCTTAGGAACACAGTTTCCCCCACTCACCGTTGATCTTTTCATCAAAGAAAGTTTTTTGGATGGACTTAACTTTATATCAGATCCTTGAATACTACTTGAAAGAGCATTGTGGGTTTGAAGACTGTCCGATTCTTTCGAGGCTGTTATTTGTTTTGTTACAATTTCACCATCCTCCTTTCGCCTTATAAGACCAACAGGTTCAGCAGGAGGACTTGTTTCATTTTCTTTTTGAGATGAACCTAAGATATCCTTTGGAGGTTCGTTATCTTTTTCCAAATTGATTCGCTGGAGGTCACCGACATCTGACAGACTTCTTTTACTGGCAGACCGTAGTCGTAGACTTAGCCTTCTAGAAGTTGATGGCTGCTGAGGTGGTCCATCATTACTGGACACAGCATCCTCCATGCCTGTACCAGCTTCAAGAGGATCATCTTCATTGGTAATTCTGCTTTTAAAATATTTGGATTTTGATTGTACTTTCACAGTGGCAAAATCATCATCCTCGTGATCACTCAGTACTACAACTTCCTTTCCATCACTTGATTTCCTCTTATCCCCTGGCTTTGAAACAGTCTTGGCATTCTTAAACATAGACAGAACAGTCTGATTTTGTCCTTTCTTTGATTTCCCTGTCTGTTTTGGTGATTTTAACCGTCTTGAAGGCTTTGCTTTTTGTTTTGAACTCATTCTCCCTGAAGAACAATCAGGCTTGTCAGTACAAATGGTATTTTAGCTGCCTATAAGCCCCACAACAGTCGACCAAGGGTTGTGCGACTCACATATACATGGACCAAGTTAAATCTCTCTGTCTGGTTGGTTTGAATATTTGCAGGTCTGACATATCATGTATTTCCAGATAAATCCCATTTGAAGTAGGTCCTATTGATTCAGAGGAGATATCTGTATTCTCGCATAACAGGAAAAATGTTACTGATGTAGTTTGGTTAGGTTTGGTTGTTGTGTAACGCCACACTCAGCAATATTTCAGCTAAATGACAGCGGTCTATTAAAATATTGTGTCTGGACCAGACAATCCAGTGATCAACAGCATGAGCATCGATCTACACAACTGGGATATGATGACATGTGTCAAACCAAGTCAGTGAGCCTGACCATCTGATCCAGTTAGTCGCCTCTTACGACAAGCATGGGTTGCAGAAGACCAATTCTAACCCGGATCTTCACGGGTATTACCGATGTAGTGAGTATTAGCAATATTCCATCAATATGCCAGTAGGGGACACTAGAAATGGGCTTTACACATTGTGTAAGCAATTGGGGAATCGAACACAGGTTATGACCACTGGGCTACCCCACTGCCCCTGTTACTGATGTAAACATAAACCAGTATTTTTTCTTTAATAATAGAAGCACAGCTTAACCAAAACTTCAAAGAATATAATTTTGAAACAGCTGAGTTCTAATAAATTTTACAGAATAAATGAGTTGCTGTGATTGCAATTTTTTTCTTCTTTGATAAATGTTCACATCTATGTTATGTGTCAAATGCCATTCTTACAAACTAAACTGATGCCATGACTAAATGGCAAACACAATTTGGACAAGTAAGGAGACAAACTTTTCAGTCTGTCAAGAATGAGTGAATGAGTTTAGTTTTACGTCGCATTCACCAATATTCCAGCTATATGGTGGCGGTCTGTAAATAATCGAGTCTGGACCAGACAATCCAGTGATCAACAGCATGAGCATCGATCTTCGCAACTGGGAACAGATGACATGTGTCAACCAAGTCATTGAGCCTGACAACCCGATCCCGTTAGTCGCCTCTTACAACAAGCATGGGTTACTGAAGATCAATATTCTAACCCGGACCTTCACGGGTCTCAGTCTGTCAAGAAACATAATTGACTCAGTACTTTCTTTATGAGATGTACATTCAGATTCAATCGATTGTCAACACTGCGATTCTGTTACTCTATCAAACATACTTTTCAATAAGCAAAACATTGTTGCTAAATATTTTTGACCGACCTAACCTTAACTCTTGATATGAAATCACCATGATAAACATAAGCCATGGGCACGCTTTTCCATTTATTGCCAAAATTGACGATGGAACCCGCAGGAACAGGAAAAAATGGAATTTAAAGGAAAGTCATCTGAGGTGAATGAAAATTTTACACCAAAATCACATCCATGTACAGTACAGACACAATAATATTTAAAACAGAAAACAACTAATTATCATACTTACTGCAGATCTCGCAAGCAACCTTGTTGAGAGTCTAAGACGTTGGTATAACTGTTAATTTATTTTTCACTTGCGACCAGTAGATCAGCGGCAGATAAATCCAGGGATAGGCAAGATGACGTGCAAACACATCTTAATTCATCACTATCATACGCTGGTCATCACGAAATAAATCAGTCAGACCTGTGTCATTTTTTTATTTTCATCAGCCGATGATGTCAATTAGTGTTACAATATTACTGTCCATAGAAGTTTATAAACTTGTTGGCAATCAAACAAACACACATTTCCAAATGCATGCACATTAAATAATAAACCTCTCCATAATGACAACTGTTCACTTAGAGAAAACATACCCGGCGTGATCTTCTTATTGATTTAACTGATATAATATCATTGCAATTATTTGATTCTGAGGCTTCCTTCGGTAAACAGTTGTGCAACCGCTGACTTGCATTTGGTGGGAAAAAGTAGACGAGAGTTACCTCCCCTGGAACAATAAAATACGGGCAGCCTCAACTAAACCGGACGAAATATTGAGATCTACAAAATACAATAATAGCCTTGACTTCTGTATTAGACCTATTTTTAATGGGATCACAACCACGTCATCAATCAAATCAGAAGCACTCACTAACTCAATCACAGCTTCTAACGGGCGACTAAAACCAGGGAGACTATATGTTGTAGAGTATCCCTGCTAAAACTGGTAAGGGGATAAGTTGCGACAATGTGATCAATGGTTATTCTAACAATCTTTCACAAACTGAATGTTATGAAATTGACCTTTTTTCTGAATTAACGTAAAGGCAATGCAGATTTATTGAAAACTGAAGGCATATAATCAGTATAACATACTTTGATATTCTACTGTGTGAAATTGTCAAACCAGAGTGGATAACACGAGCACAGATGACACGTGCACTGCATAAACCAGGGTGGGGAGGAAGGTAAGAAAGTGTTACTGTATATCCAAAGATCGACTTGAACATAATAAATCCCATTGGCAAAATCGACCTCGGCCGCCGTTGATTTAGAAGCCGATAACCATATTCTCGCTGCCAGCGAAAAAACCAAACTAATTATGGTAACTTAATTATGAATTAATGCATTTCGCTATTCATGATTATAAACTTTCGGTTCTTGCTTCTCTGACACTATTTCCCGAAGACCTATGGAGACAGCGAGTGTTATTTAAAATACAATTTGCTCTACCACCATGTATAGTGTAATAAAGCACACTTTCGCCCTGAACTACTATAGTTAAAGCACGAGGACGCTTGTATAGACAGACAGCTTTACAGCTGACAAATATCTGCAGAGGTCGCTTTTCTCGTGTCTGTCAGTAAAACTATTTGTATAATTCTCCCAACAGCGTACACAACACAGCATGTCTGTACTGGTGTTGTAGGCTGGGAAGACGGTGCAGCAGGCATTATACTGCTTATGAATAAAGGTCACAGCCGGAGTAACCCGTGAAGATCTGGGATGCTTCACCAAGCCATGCTTGTCGTAAGAGGCGACCAACAGTATCTGGTGCACAGCTCGCTGACTTGGTTGACAATGTCATCGTATCCCAAATGCGTAGGTCAATGCTCATTCTGTTAATTACTGGTCCTGGTCGACGTCCTGACTCAAGTATTTACAGACTGACACTATATAGCGTAACATGCCTGCGTAAAACAGCCACCAAAAGGCAAACAAACAAACAAAACAACCAGATCTTGCAAGAAGAGGAACAGCTGCCAGTCCCTGGTGGTTGGCAGATGAACCAGACTACCAGTGAGTGAGTGAGTGAGTTTAGTTGTACGCCGCACTCAGGGATATTCCAGCTATATGGCGGCGGTCTGTAAATAATCGAGTCTGAACCAGACAATCCAGTGCTCAACAGCATGAGCATGGATCTGCGCAATTGGGAACCGATGACATGTGTCAACCAAGTCAGTGAGCCTGACAACCCCGATCCCGTTAGTCGCCTCTTACGACAAGCAGACTACCAGTGTCTTGCCCCAAATCAGCCATCAGTTGTCTGGGATCGCAGTAGTGTCAGAACTCGTGCCATTGTACTTTGTTCTCTTCAAACACAACATTACATCTTAGACACTGAACGATTAGACGACGGAAAAGACATTTCAGGCTGTTGGTTGATTATTAGTGTCTACGCGTGATTGTCAAAGTAGAAGAGGACATATTTGTCTGGTAATGTTTTCCCAGATTTCAACATTTCGCAGGGAAATGGTTCCTTGAGTCATGATGTTCCTCCATTAACCCAGTTGTCTGCACATCCGCGTACCTTTGAGGTACCGCCGGTCTCTTCTGGTGACCTTCTCGCTGTTGCCTTGTGACCTCCTTGATCTTTTTCTCCGGGTGTCTGGTCCAGTTTTGACGTCAGCCGTCACCCTCAGAAACGTCGCGGGGCCACCTGTTTCCACACGGACAGTTAACTGTTTCAGTATACGTAAGATGTGGTTTTATGATGTGATCCGGTGAAATGACCGCCTCCGTGGTGTAGTGGTTAGAGCGTCCGCCCGGAGAGCGGAAGGTCGTGGGTTCGATCCCCGACCGCGTCATACCAAAAGACGTTAAAATATGGTACTTGTTGGTCCCTGCCTGGCGCTCGGCATTAATGGGTACAACAAGGACTGGTCGGCTCGGGGTCAGTATAATGTGTCTGAGTGGGGTATTCATGCTTCACTGCGGCATGGTATCTCAGTGGGCTAGCACTATAAAACCAGCTTAAGTCTGGGCTAGTACAAGCAGCCGCACATACACACGCATGCACGTCGTCATATGAGCGAAATATTCTCAAGCACGACGTTAAACCCAATTTCACCTCACCTCCTGTGAAATGTAGACATTTATAAGCTGGTATAGTAAACACTGTTGAAAACTGGTTTAACTGAACGTACTCACTGATTGGGCTGTTACAACTGTTAACATAGCCGCCAAACCAACCTCACTCACCCTCCACTAAATATGATATTGTCCCTGAATGGTTCGTATCGGGGTACGTGTGGCGGCAGTGAAAGGCTCATTATGTGTTTGAAGCACTAGTAAAATATACAATTTGATGTTTTCAGAAGATTCTCATCTGACCCAGTTTTGAGCAATAAGCGCTGCGTTGCGGGATCGTATTACTTTTAAGAAAACACATTTCAGTCGCAACCACTAAACAAGGGAATTCTCGAAATCTCAGTATCTCCCAAGGGGTGGTATAGACAACTATCAGGATTTAATCTGCTACTGTGTTGTAACAACGCTTTCGGTTGTTTGATTGTTTGATGTGGTGGGGCAAGGGGTGGTATTACATGGGCGGATCCAGGAATTTTGAAAGGGGGGGGCTGAACCCCCCTCTGGATCCGCCAATGGTATAGACAACTAACAGGTGGAGCAAGGGGTGGTGTACACAACCAACAGGTGGGGCAAGGGGTGATGTAGACAACTAACAGGTGGAGCAAGGGCTGGTATAGACAACTAACAGGTGGATCAACGGGTGGTATAGACAACTAACAGGTGGGGCAAGGGGTGGTATAGACAACTAACAGGTGGGGCAAGGGGTGGTATAGACAACTAACAGGTGGGGCAAGGGGTGGTGTAGACAACTAACAGGTGGAGCAAGGGGTGGTATAGACAACTAACAGGTGGGGCAAGGGGTGGTATAGACAACTAACAGGTGGAGCAAGGGGTGGTATAGACAACTAACAGGTGGGGCAAGGGGTGATATAGACAACTAACAGGTGGGGCAAGGGGTGGTATAGACAACTAACAGGTGGTGCAAGGGGTGGTATAGACAACTAACAGGTGGGGCAAGGGGTGGTGTAGACAACTAACAGGTGGAGCAAGGGGTGGTATAGACAACTAACAGGTGGGGCAAGGGGTGGTATAGACAACTAACAGGTGGAGCAAGGGTGGGTATAGACAACTGGGGCAACAGGTGGTGGCAAGGGGTGGTATAGACAACTAACAGGTGGAGCAAGGGGTGATATAGACAACTAACAGGTGGGGCAAGGGGTGGTATAGACAACTAACAGGTGGGGCAAGGGGGTGGTATAGACAACTAACAGGTGGGGCAAGGGGTGGTATAGACAACTAACAGGTGGTGATATAGACAACTAACAGGTGGGGCATAGGTGGTATACTAACAGGTGGCAAGGCAAGGTGGTGGTGGTATAGACAACTAACAGGTGGGGCAAGGGTGGTATAGACAACTAACAGGTGGAGCAAGGGGTGGTATAGACAACTAACAGGTGGGGCAAGGGGTGGTATAGACAACTAACAGGTGGGGCAAGGGGTGGGTATAGACAACTAACAGGTGGGGGGTGGTAAGACAACTAACAGGGGTGGGTATAGACAACTAACAGGTGGGGCAAGGGGTGGTATAGACAACTAACAGGTGGAGCAAGGGGTGGTATAGACAACTAACAGGTGGAGCAAGGGGTGGTATAGACAACTAACAGGTGGGGCAAGGGGTGGTATAGACAACTAACAGGTGGAGCAAGGGGTGGTATAGACAACTAACAGGTGGGGCAAGGGGTGGTATAGACAACTAACAGGTGGGGCAAGGGTGGTATAGACAACTAACAGGTGGAGCAAGGGGGTGGTATAGACAACTAACAGGTGGAGCAAGGGTGCAAACTAACAGGTGGAGCAAGGGGTGGTATAGACAACTAACAGGTGGGGCAAGGGGTGGTATAGACAACTAACAGGTGGGGCAAGGTGGTATAGACAACTAACAGGTGGAGCAAGGGGTGGTATAGACAACTAACAGGTGGAGCAAGGGGTGGTATAGACAACTAACAGGTGGAGCAAGGGGTGGTATAGACAACTAACAGGTGGAGCAAGGGGTGGTATAGAAACAAACTAACAGGTGGGACAACAAGGGGCAAGGGGTGGTATAGACAACTAACAGGTGGGGCAAGGGGTGGTATAGACAACTAACAGGTGGGGCAAGGGTGGTGAGACAGCTATAGACAACTAACAGGTGGGGCAAGGGGTGGTATAGACAACTAACAGGTGGGGCAAGGGGTGGTATAGACAACTAACAGGTGGGGCAAGGGGTGGTATAGACAACTAACAGGTGGAGCAAGGGGTGGTATAGACAACTAACAGGTGGAGCAAGGGGTGGTATAGACAACTAACAGGTGGGGCAAGGGGTGGTATAGACAACTAACAGGTGGGAGCAAGGGGTGGTATAGACAACTAACAGGTGGGGCAAGGGGTGGTATAGACAACTAACAGGTGGGGCAAGGGGTGGTATAGACAACTAACAGGTGGAGCAAGGGGTGGTATAGACAACTAACAGGTGGGGC